TATATAAATACAGTAAAATTGTATATTATGTGACTTCCATACTAGTCTTCCCTAGTAAAAATCTATAGATTTGTTGACCATATCATAAACTGTATGTCTCTTTCTGTAACTTCACGTCTTTATCAGGAGGAAGGCAAGATGCTTTGGAGACATAGTTTGTCATTGTTTTGATGAGAGTTCACATATCTTTCAATGTTTTTTTTTCTTTATCATGGGGTTGCCCTTATATAAATGGTTCTACTTCACTCTACATCACTAAAATATTCCAAGAATTCTCTGAAATCATCTGTCATAATTTCAGTGCATTAATATTACATTACATTCATGTAATACAATTTCTTCAATTAACTGGTAGGCATTCCCCTTAAATTCTAGCTGTATGCTTTTCATTTTCTGTTCCTTAAGGAGTAGGAGTTTTGTTTTGCTTGTGATTATTGCCTCTACAATATTATTCTCCCCGGTCTTGTTAATCCCCTATTGTTTCCTTGTTGAAATTTCCTTGTTGTTTCTATGAAAAACCATTCCTGTGTCTATGTGTTCATGTTCAGCTCTCCTTTAACTGGTCAGACAAGCATGAGGTTTATTTGTTTCCCATTCACCATTCCCCCTTCCTCCATTACTGCACATATATGTAACTCTTCTCAGTTTTAAGAAAGAGAAAATTCTGCCCCATCTTCCTTCTTTTTGCACTAGTGTTTCCCCTTCTCTGTCAACTCTTTAAACACTCAGAAGAGAACCTGTCTATCCCGATCCTGTATTTTTTTATATAACTCCACCAAAACTCTTAGAGAAAATAAAAGTTGTAAAGAGACACTTGTTGTTTCTCCCTCATTAAAATGTTAACAATAAATCATCATACAATCCCTGAAAACTGTTCCAAGAAATTTACATTGTCAGGTTTCTCTTGATTCTTGGTTTTGCATTTTGAAGTTCCTACTTAACCCTGGTCTTTTCATTAGGAATTCTTGAAAGTGTTCTATTCCATTAAAGGTCATTTTCCCTTGGTAAACTGATACTTAGGTTTGTAGTCTTGTTTATAAAGTTTTTATTTTGTTTTGTTTCGTAATATTGTATTCAGTGATTTCCTCTCATTTACATTAGAACCTTTTAAGTCTTGGGTGATCCTGACTGTGGTTCTTGGGAGTTCTTGAATACTTAAATGCCTTCTTCCTGGCTTCTTACATTACTTTTTCATTAGAAAGTGTTAGATTTTGGCTATGGTGTTTCTCTTCCTTTTCCCTTTGATGCTTCCTTCAAGAAGGTAATTGGTGGATTCTTTCTTCCTTCACTTTGCCTTCTGGTTCAAATAGATTTGAGCAGTTTAAATTTATGATTTTTTGAGTTGTAGTGTCCAGGATTTTTAAATTTTAATCATAGCTTTCAGGGACTCCAATGATTCTTGAATCCTTAATCTATTTTCAGGAGTGTGCTGGAACAAGTCAATTATTAAATTTTTGGTGTGAGCAATTTATACTTCAGAAATCCTCAGTCAATACAAACCAAGCGTTAATTCACTATTTAATTGAAGTGTTAATAAGATTAAGCTTAAATATGTGAATACATACATTTTTCCTCCAGAGAGCCCAGTTGTTGAACATTTACCAGTATACTCTTGTATCACTCTACAAACATTACCTGAATGCTGAAGTACAATAGAAGGCTCAGGAAATTAAGTTGTCACCAGCCTGTAGATCTGGGGCCTCTGGGCAAAAATATTCTTCCTCTACCTCCTTCTCCTCCTCCTCCTCCTCTTCTACCACCACCACCACCACCACCTCTTTCTCTCCTGCCACTACTAACACCACCACCACCATCACTACCACTACTATTACTGCTACTACTCCTACTACTCCTACTTCTACTGCTACTACTCCTACTACTCCTACTGCTACTGCTACTACTACTATTACTACTACTACTACTACACTACTAATGATAACAACTAGTATTTATATAGAACATCAAAGTATGCAAAGTACTTCACATCTATATCATTTAAGGTTCACAACACTACTGCCTATTTTACAGGTCAGTTCTTTTCCATATAAGATACCTTACATTTTCTTCTATTTTTTTAAACTCTTGGTTTTGTTTTAATTTTTCTTGTTGTCTTATGGAGTCATTGGCTTCTGTTTGGCATATTTTAATTTCCAGAGAGTCTACTACTTGGGTAATGTTTATAACTTTCCTTTCTAAACTATTTATTCTCCTAATTATCTTCCGCAGAATTTTTATTTCTTTTTTTATCTCACTTCATTTTTTCTAGATATTTGTGTAGTCCTTTTGGAAAACCTTCTTTTCATCTTTGACTCTCTGTTTATAGTGGTTATGGAGTTACTTTCTCCTACTAAACTTGATTTTGGGTATCTCTAGATATACAATTCTTTACAATGGTCAGTATCTTCTGTTTAGTCATGTCTCCATATTTAGTATCACCTGAAATTTCATCATCACCCAGAATGAAGCAGGTTTTGATACTCTATACCTTCTCAACTCACCCTTGGTTGTCTCTTCTCTCTGATTGGAGGGCTGGAGCACAGAGGACTAAATTCATCTCAAAGCCTTCTTTTATTGAGGGCTCACAACCTTCCTGGTAACTCCACTTTCCGTATGCAGTTCTACTTGTTTTTGACTCCATGGAACAACATATACTCACCATTTTTCAGCTTCCTTTTGTGTGTTGTCTTCCCTGTTAGACTGTAAGATGCTCAAGGACAGGGACTTTCTCTTTTCTTATTATATCCCCAGCACTTAGCACACTGACTGGCACACAGTAGATGCTTAATAAATCTTTATGGAATTGAATTATATTAGTTTCTGAACAGAAGCTTTTTTTTGACAGATCTGGACTCTGTTTTCTACTACACTTTTGAGTGTGTGGAAGGCCCTGTTTAACCTGGGTCATCTGGGTACCTTCTTGGGTTAGGACTTCCTGGATCTTTGAGGCTCAGATAGTTGGAGCTTCAGGGCCATCTCAGAACAAATTATGATTAAACTCACAACCTTGTGGTTCTAAGTCCTTGTTCTGAATACAATCATGCTTATACTAGTTATAGTTGTTCTTGTTGTCTTCCAGGGGGCCTGGTGTAATTTTTTAACAACTCTGATGCCTTTTCAGGGGAGCTTCAACTTTAATTTTTTGAAAGATACAAACCATTGTAGGTTACACATGCCTCCAGACAGCCTCTAGTCATACTCTGGGTAGTTGGGTTCTTTGCCACTGCTGACACTGCCTTTGGTTAGTTGCCTCCTTTCCTATTGCCTGCAGGCACTAGGCAAGCTTCTTGTCCTGGAGTAGGACAAGTCCCTTTTCTAGGCTTATTGGATTTCTTTATCATTATTTGACTTAGTACAATTTTTATATTTTTGTTGGGGTAGCATCTGCTTCTTTCCAGGAGGTCATCTCAAACAGAAATCAATATAAGTAGCTGATTTTTAACGTTACTTGTAGTTAGAGTTTCACAGGGATCTCTAGTTGTCCTTTGTGAATGACAAAATATTTTGGGTTAGGATTCATTAAAATATATTTATGTGAACAACATTCAAATCTAATTCAATTTCTTATTAATATTATATTCTCAGCTATATCTTCAAGCATTTAACTACCTGGGAGAAGTTTCACCTAGTATGTCTTGGTTTACTCAAGCTCCTTTTCCCTTCTCAAACAGCAAAAGTGAGAAAAATGAAATTAAATGTTAAAGCTTCAATATTTAAATTGTTTTTACTATGAAAATAAAACAAAAAGATGATGCTTAGAACTGAATCACTTGGCTTTTTCCATATCTTTTTTTTCTCCTAGTTCAAAATGTTTATATCTTTTAAAAACCAGCATCCTCTTAAATATTCAGTTGGACTGTATACATTCAAACCCTAGTATGATCTTCCCTGGACAAGTCATTTAACCTGTTTGCCTTAGGGGATAATGACAGTTCCTACCTTGCCTGGTTGTTGTGAATATCAAATGAGATAATATCTTAGCACAGAGCCTGGCTGTAGTAGGTGCTATGTAAATGTGTATTCCTTTCCCCCTTTGCTTGTGGCTTTGGACTTCTAAAAACTGACTTAGTTTGACCACCACAGCTTCTAAGCCTCCAGTTATAGTGCCCTTTCACCCCACACATATAAGCAAAAGTTGGCTTTATTTTGATGTGTCGCTTTGTCAGCCTGCTGCTTATTTTCCTTTTTGCATTAAGTTTTATGAGTTTGGAGATATTTCCTCAGCTGTGTTTCCAGCCTAAAGAATAAAGTCTTTCATTACAATATTTTAAGATAACGTCTATTGCATGTTATCTGCTTCCCTTCTGAGTGTGGAGATGAAAATGGGAAGGATTCCACTTAATCTCAACCTTAAGATGGATATTCAGATGTGAAACAAAGTCACTTAAATTTTGATGCACTTGCTCCCCTAATTTTTAGGGTGAGCATCATTTAACTCCCTAAAGACCTTAGCAGGAAAAAAAGGATTTCTTACTGGTTCCTATTGTCTTTGAGATGACCAGGAGTGAAATAGAAAAACAAACAAACAAACAAAAAAACTAAACCAATAACAACAACAAAAATAAACCTACACCAAAAAGTCATGCATCCTGGTTGTTCACAAATTGGGTTAGAAATAGGGAAAATTCAAGGTTGGATTCACATTTATCACCTTCCTGCCTAGTCAATGAAAGTTTAGATTCATGATTAAAAAAAATTAATATATAAATTGCTGTCTTTGCTGACAGTGATTTGTTTTTAATTCAGATAAAAAAGGAACAATCATTTTCATTTGGAATCTTTATTGTTTTCTGAATCCCTGTTTACCTTGGTAACTTTTAGTAAAGTTAAATTTCCATTAGAATTTGCCTTAAATCTTATTGTTTCACCTGTAATAACCATTTCACTTGTCTTTTTTAAAAATTATGCAATATATTCATTGGATATTTTGTCATGGCTTTTACTGGAGATTGAGAAAGGGGGAGTAGGCAATAGACAAAGTGCGTTTAGGGGGCAGAGCCAAGATGGAGGAGTAAAAGCAGTGACTTGCTTGATCTCTCCCCCAAACCCTTCAAAATACCTGTAAAAACGGCTCTAAACAAATTCAAAAGCAGCAGAACCCACAAAAAAACAGAGTGAAATGAATTACCAGCCCAAGACAGCCTGGATGTCTTGGAAAAGTAACAGAAAAGTGTATCGTGCAAGGGTGGGAGAGGAACGCAGTTCAGTACAGGTGCGCAGGCAAAACAGGGCTCTGTGAACCTGGAGCAGGCCTCAGAGGACTGAATAATGGGCAGCTGTGCTGGTTTCCAGACTTCCCAATCCACAAATATCATTATTGCCTTGATATTTTAGAACCAGAGGCAAAATAGAAATTGAAAGAATCCATTGATCACCTCCTGAAAGAGATCCCCAGAGGAAAACTCCTAGGAATGTTGTAGCCAAATTCCAGAATTCCCAGGTCAAGGAGAAAATATTGCAAGCAGCCAGAAAGAAACAATTCAAGTACTGTGGAAACACAATCAGGATAACACAAGATTTAGCAGTTTCTACATTAAGGGACTGGAGGGCATGGAATATAATATTCCAGAGGTCAAAGGAGACAGGATTACAAGCAAGAATCACTTACACAACAAAACAGAATATAATACTTCAGGGGGAAAAATGGTCTTTCAGTGAAATAGGGGACTTTCAATCATTCTTGTTGAAAAGACCAAAGTTGAATAGAAAATTTGACTTTCAAATACAAGACTCAAGTGAAACATGAAGAGATAAACAGGAAAGGGAAATCTTAAGAGACCTATTAAGGTTGAACTGCTTACATTCCTGCATGGAAAGATGATATTTATAACTCATGAGACCTTTGTCAGTATTAGGGTAGTTGGAGGGGAAAAATTATACGTATGTAGGTATAGATAGATAGATGGATAGATAGATAGATAGATAGATAGATAGATAGATAGGTAGATAGATAGATAGATAGATAGATTAAAAAAAGATAGAGAGAGAGAGGACACAGGGTGAGTTGAAGGTGAAGGGGTGATATCTGGAGAATAAAATTAAGGGGTGAGAGAATTATATTGGGATAAGGAGAAAGGGAGAGGTAGAATGGGGTAAATTATCTCACATAAAAGACAAGAAAAAAACTTTTAAAGTGGAGGGGAAATGGGGGAAGGTAAGAGGGAATGAGTGAATCTTATTCTCATAGGATTTGGCTTAAGGAGGGAATAACATATACACTCAATTGAGTAAGGAAATCTATCTTACCCTACAGGAAAATGGCGGGGGGGTGAGGGTGTCGAGAAGAGAGCAGGGGCATGATAGAGGGGAGGGCAAATTGGGGGAGGGGTTAATCAGAAGCAAACACTTCTGAGGAGGGACAGAGTCAAAAGAGAGAATAGAATAAATGGTGGGTGGGTGAGGATGAAGGGAAATATAGTTAGTTTTTCACAATATGACTACTATGGAAGTGTTTTGCATAAGTATACATGTATAACCTATATGGGGTTGCTTGTCTTTTCAATGAGAATAGGTGGGGAGGGAGGAAGGAAGAAAATTTGGAACCCAAAGTTTTAAAAACACATATTAAAAAAAAATAGTTTTCACATGCATCTGGGAAATTAGAAATACAGGAAATGGGGAATAGAAATCTATCCTGCCCTACAGAAAAATAGAAAGGGAAGGGGATAAGAGAAGGCGGGGAAGAGATAGAAGGGAGGGCGCATTAGGGGAATAGGTATTCAGAATGCATGCCATCTTGAGTTGGGGGAAGGGATGAGATGGGTAGAAAATTTGGAACTCAAAATCTTGCAGAAGTGAATGTTGAAAACTAAAAATAAATAATTTTTTCAAAAAAAGGAGTTTAAAAAACATGCCCATAATTTTCTCTTTAAAAAAGGAGGTGGAGGATATTTTGTTATCTCTCACCAGTGGGGGAGAGGCAAGGGAAGGGAGGAAAGGATTGAAAGATCATGAGTCAAGTCATAGCCAAAACCATGTTCTAGCCCTCAGGAGATTTTCTTTTTTTCCCCTCTTTTTTTTTAATGCAATCTCCCCAAACTATCACTTTTTAATCTTTGCCAGACTGGGCTTCATCTTCAGACCCTTCATCCCCAGACTTTTCTGATCAAGAGCTGGCAGACTTTTTCTTTTCTGGGGAGCTTTCTGGTGCCTCATCCTCATCTTTGGGGGAAGGAGTCTTTTCTTTTGATGCCTTTGATGCTGTGGGACCTTTGCCTTTCACTGGACTTGTTGTCACTGTAGCCTTTAGCCTAAGTTTGGGTACTTTCTTTTCTTTCTTTTCAGGTTTAGATTTCTTCACGATCTTTTGGTTTTTGTTTTTTGAACTTCCATAATCACTATCATCATCATCTTCCACTAGGAAGTCTTCATCACTGCCAGAATTCTCTTGGAATAATGCCTCTTCTCCCTCTTCTTGTTCTTCTTCAGTGCCCATGTCTTCCATGATCATTCCTCTCTGCTTGGAAGCTGCTTTTGATGCTGCCTGATGCTGTTGGTGAACATTTTTGTGACCTTTTTCATCTTCACTAACCTCTGGTAAGTGTGAATCATCCTTCTTGGTCTTCACATCTTTTTCTTCAGAGTCCTCACTATCTTCCCGTGAATTTTCACAGATTGCCTCTTGTTTTTAGCCTCTCAGGGTGATGATCAGATTTTCATAGCTGGAGGGGCTGAATCTCTTCCATAATCTTCATCTGCATCATCAAATTCCTGAAACTGTTAATGATCGATCACCTTCCTGTTTCTGATGGGCTGGGACATGTTTTCAGCCAATACCGGACCTCCAGTGAAGCTGAGACCAGGTCCCGCTACCCCCCACCCCTGAACTGATTTGGCCAACAAGGCCAAGGCTGTAAAAATGAACATAACTTTTGACCCAGAAATAGCACTTCTAGGGCTGTATCCTAAAGAGATCATACAAATGGGAAAAGGACCCACATGTGCAAAAACATTTATAGCAGCTCTTTTTGTCATGGCAAAGAATTGGGGAATGGCTGAACAAGTTGTGGTATATGAATGTAACGGAATACTATCGTGCTATAAGAAACGATGAGCAGGCAGACTTCAGAAAAACCTAGAAAGACTTGTATGGACTGATGCTGAGGGAAGGGAGCAGAAACAGGAGAACATTGTACATGGTAATAACTGCATTGTACGATGACTAATAATGATAGACTTCGCCCTTCTCAGCAATGCAAGGATCTAAGACATCTCCAAGAGTCTCATGATGGAAAATGCTATCCACATCCATAGCAAGAATTATGGAGTTTGAATGTAGATCAAAGCATAGTATTTGCTCTTTTTTTTTCCCTTCTGTTTTGTTTTGTTTCCTTTCTTGTGGTTTCTCCTATTGGTTCTAATTCTTCCTTCTAACATGACTAATGTGAAAATATGTTTAATAGGAATGTATATGTAGAGCCTATATCAGATGGCATGCCATCTTGGGAAGGGAGGAGGGGAGAAAGGAGGAGAAAAATTAAAAACTCAAAAGCATATAGAAGTGATTGTTGAAATTTAAAAATAAATTAATAAAAAATTTGAGAAATTACAATGGAAAGGAATGAAGTTGTTTTCAATCCCTGAAATCATACCCTATTCACATGACCAGGAAGATTTGTCAGACATTCAAGAAGGGATGGACTAGAAAATGTTTACAAGCAAAATAATGAAAACTTAAGCATCATGGAGTAAGACCTGGCAAGAACTTTAAAGATGATGTCATACAATCCCTTCATTTTAAGAGTTAAAATAACTGAGCCTCAAAGAAGTGGGAGTGACTTGTTTATGGGCACACATCTAAATTAGTAGAACACACAGGATTTGAACCCATGACCTTTGAATCTAAATCTGTTTCTTTCTACAGTATCATATTGCCTCCCGATTTAAATGGTTTTAAGATCCCTCCATTATTTCTTTCTAGAATATATCTGTCCCCGAGGTTGAGAGATTCTGGAGGGATTGGTACATTACTACTTTTCTAATCAGGTCCCCGAGCTCTAAGATTGTGAAATGCAAATATGAATGTCATATTATTCCCCCCGCTTCCCTGGGGTCATTAAAAGTAAATTGCCTGATTCTATCTTCTGACCCTAGGAGCTTATAAAACCATATCCACATGGATTTCAGTTTATTTTTTAAGGACAGTAAACAGCTCACACCAATGATTTTGGAGAATTAGAAAGTGATAGGGCAGGATCTCCTTATGTGTGAAGTACAGGCAGAGACTACACCAATCATCCTTTTAGAGGAAGCAGGGTAAGTGTCTGGATTCCTCTTTTACTATCATTATCATAAAGGATTCAGGCTTGGGCTTTAGACTGTGTTGATTCTGATCAACTTTCAGGATGTCAGTTCCTTATTAGGACAGAGCAAGGAGATCTTCCCTTGGGCATTTGGGCTTTGATATTTCACCACTATTTAAATCTTCACTGATTATTAAATGACTGTATGAGGCACCAGACCTCCTGACTTTCCTTGTTCACACAGTTTGCTTGACACTTTAAAATCCAAGATTAACTAGGCCAGATGCCTAATTAGCTCCCTTTTCCTTCTGTCACTTCCATTGTAATTCTATGCTTATTTTACTCCTCTGAACCATAGGCCTCTACACATCCAAGGCAATAGGAGTGGGTGTTTTGATATTTATTTCCTAAAAATGTAATTCTCTATTTTGTATTCAATGTACTTTGACATATTTTAACATATCTACAAATTTAGAAATAATGTGTCAGAAGAAGACAATTAGAAGCACAAATAATGGAAAATTTCTAATCCCAAACTAGAATACTTGCTAATCTAGTCTATCTAGGTGCCATTTCCCAGATCTTGTTTAGATCATTATATCTTGAGCAAAGGAACCCTATGCATAGTGACCATTTGACCAAAGGCTTTGAAATAGCATTATGCTAATTTTGGCATTTTTATACCACAACCTTCTAGACTGAGCTCACTAGTTAAATCTAAAATTCAAGGTTTACTCTGAAACAACCAGGAAAACCCTCTTTATTAATAATTGCTTTCTAACTCCTACCTCCTTCCATATTCCTCACTATAAGGAAAACAACAACAACAACAATATAAAACTGATAGAAATTGTTTTGTTGTTTGTGGTTCAGTCATTGCAATGATGTCTGACTCTTTGTGACCCAATTTGGAGTTTTCTTGGCAAAGACACAGAAGTGGTTAGCCATTTCCTTCTCCAGTTCATTTTACACATGAGGAACTGGGGCAAACAGGGTTGTGTGACTTGTTCAGGGTCACACAGCTAGTAAGTGTCTGAGGTCAGAATTGAAGTCAGGAAGATTCATTTTCCCTACTTCAGTCCTGGTACTCTATGCACTGTGCCACCTATTCAGAAATTGCTTTGCCAATACATAAAAAAAAAATTCAACCAAACATATTGTATTCTCTCTCTCTCTCTCTCTCTCTTTTTCTCTCTCTCTATCTCTCTATCTCTCTCTCTCATTTTGATTTGCATTTCTCTAATCAATAGTGATTTAGAGCATTTTTTCATGACTTTATCTGGAAATTGTCTGTCCTTTATCTGGGAACTGTCTGTCCATGTTCTTTGATCATTTATCAATTGGGGAATGAGTTGTATTCTTATAAATTTGATTTAATTCCCTAATGAGACCCTTATTAGGGACACTGGTTGTAAAAATTCTTTCCCAGTTTTCAGCTTCCCTCTGAATTTTGGTTGCATTGACTTTGTTTGTGCAAAACCTTTTCAATTTAATGTAATCAAAAGTGATGAAGTAACTGTAGGTAAAAATGAAAACAATATGTATTGAGGCAAGGGAGAGAAGAAAGAATAAAATATTATGATTTGTGATAAGAATTTCATGGTTTTGGACCATGGAAGTTGAACTAGTGTAGGTAATAATGAAATCAAGTGTGTTGCAATCTCTGGGTGTCACTAAGGAAGAGTGAAAGTACAATCATGGGTTCTGAGAAGGATGATGAAATAGTGTTTGAAGGGACATGAACATATATGGGAAGCTCCAAAGTCTGAATGTCAAGGTAGGGGTGGGAATGATGATTGCAAATTGGGTGATGAATTCCTTGAAAAAGAAAATTTATCTTGGGGTAAGCAGACAATGGTAGACAGGATCTTGATCTGGGTGGTATCAATGAGAATAGAGTGTCAAAGGAGAGATGCCTAAGTTGCAGTTGAAGAAAAGGGATTTGGAATTAGCAATGAAGAGCAAAGAGTTTGCTTTCTTTGTCTTTGTCCAGATGAGTTGGTTGAGCATAATAATTTGTGTTCAATACTAGAGAAAGTAGTCAGTTTGTGGCAATATCTTCTAGTCCAAAACAGATTATGCATGTTCAGGTTCATCTTTTGAAGTGGCTGTGCTGAGTAGTGCCTCACAGTAATGACTGGAAAGAGAAATTCTGACAGCTTATACTAAAAAATTACCTGAGGCTTTTCTGTAATTATTCCCCTACTGCCCTTACTGAACCCCAATCTTATCTTAAATAAACAAAAGGAAGTGATACTGCCCCTTCCTTTCTTTTCCACATGCCCTGACACTTATTATAAGATCATATTCCAAACTTTTCTTTTCATTATCTTCCATTGTCTGCCCTTGCTTCCATATTTTGTATATATTTTAAAAATCTGTATGGATTGCAAAGGCTTCTGTATAATCACATCAGTTGCTCTAGAGAATTCACTTTTCTCCCTTCCTTCATCATATTTCTTTCTTAGTGTCCTTAGAATTTTAATATAGAGAATTTACCATTATTTTTGTTGATACCCTTAGACTTTTAGGCCATTCTATGTGTTCTTTTTGTGAAACTTTTAAAAAATCTCTTTTCTCCAAATGTGGGATACCTAAGTATAGGACTTTTCTCTCTTCTACTACATCATTATGATGGAATAGACATTTCCTTAAGGAATTCCTGTAATTTCCACCCCTCCAACCAGTTCCTATCTGTTCAAAAGAATTGTATTAGAATAGAATTTCTCCTTGCTGATTCTCTCTTTGAGATTCTGTGATTCTATGAACTCTGAACTTGTTAAGCATTTTATTTTCCGTAGGTGTCAGAATAAAATAAGGGGGATGTGATTCATAGGCACATTAAGAATTAAAGAATTTAACTGAACCAGGGAAGTGAGACAGCACTTTAAATAACTAAGATTTTTCTTTCAGTATAGCATCCTTTATCTCATATCTTCCATGGTATCTTAGAGATATAGAGATACTTCTTGACCTGGGGAAAAACAACATCAAAAATATCCTACATGCTGTTTTGCCTGTATACTTTTCTTATGGGCAAGGTGAAATCAGATCATTTCTAACGTGACTCTTCTCTCTCATCCCTACAGATCTCTCTAGAGGAGAATGACTACAGGAAATTACTCCACTGAGATTGAGTTTGTTCTTGTGGGGTTAACAAATCAGCCAGAGCTCCAGTTTCCTTTCTTCTTCCTATTCTTGTGTATCTATGTCATCACAGTTGTGGGGAATATGGGCATGATGCTATTAATTGTTGCCAGTCCTCCACTTCATACGCCCATGTACTATTTCCTCAGTACTTTGTCCTTTGTAGATTTCTGCTATTCCTCTACCATTACCCCTAAAATGTTGGTGAACTTCTTAGGGAAGAAGAATACTATCCCTTATTTCAAATGTATGGCCCAGCTTTTTTTCTTTGCGGTCTTTGCTGTTGCAGAAGGATACCTTCTTACAGTGATGGCTTATGATCGCTATGTTGCTATTTGTAACCCACTGCTTTATAATGTGATCATGTCCTATCAGGTCTGCTCATTGATGGTGGCAGCTGCCTTCACTTTGGGCTTTATCTCAGCCCTGATCCACACAAGCTTCATGATGAAACTCTCTTTCTGCAAATCCCACATCATCAGCCATTACTTTTGTGATGTACTTCCCCTACTCAATCTCTCCTGCTCAAGCACCCAAATCAATGAGTTACTGCTTCATGTCATTGCTGGATTTAATACCTTAGTGCCCACCTTGGCAGTTCTTATATCTTATGTTTGCATCCTTGCCAGCATTCTCCGCATCCGCTCTACAGAAGGAAGGACCAAAGCCTTTGGCACTTGTAGCGCCCACCTCATGGCTGTGGTTCTCTTTTTTGGATCAATCACATTCATGTATTTCAAACCACCTTCTAGTAAGTCTATGGAACAAGAGAAGGTATCTTCACTATTTTATACAACTGTGATTCCTATGCTGAATCCCTTGATCTACAGTCTGAGGAATAAGGATGTAAAAAAAGCATTGAGGAAAGCTCTTAGAGGAAGGGAGTTTTGAGAAATGGTTTTTACTATTAGAGACAATAACTGGATGGAAAAGTGGACCTTCTGGGTTTGTATTTCCTTACTTTCCTATAATAATAACTTGTCTTCTGACAATATTTCTGTTTTCTCAAATGTTTTCTGATCCATTGTGTCAGTTTAGATTTACAATATACTTTACTGGAAGAATTATTACTTTTATTATTTTTTAGGCAGTTGAGGTTAAGTGACTTGTCCAGGGTCACAGAGCTACTAAGTGTCAAGTATTTGGTCTGAGGCCAGATTGGAACTCAGGTCCTCCTGACTTCAGGGCCAGTCCTCTGTCCACTGCACCACATAGCTGCCCTCTCCTATTTCTTAAAATAGGTGAAGTGAGGCTCCCAAAACTTCTGGAACCTGTTGAAGTTCACATAATAAAATAATAAGAGTTGAGCTGGAATTCACTTTTCCATTGCATCATCGTCATCATCATTATCACCATCATCAACAATTTCATCATCAACAATATGTTTTTACCAAGTCAATACTATATATAAGGTACCTAGGTTTTAGTGGGAAGAGAAAATACAAAGAAAAATAAAACAGAAAACTATCTTCAAGAAATTAATAATTTATTCAGGGAGTCAAAGTGCAAAGAGGGAAAATATTAAATAGATTTTTATATGAAATTTTACATGTGTTCCTTAGATATTAGGAAAACAAATTTCAAAAGGCTCATTGAGAATTACCACATCTCTAAGGTGGAAGGGACCTCAGAGACCACATATCCAATACAGAATTGAAAAAAATATTCACCTTTAGAACATATTCAGCAAGTTAGTCACCCAACCTTTACTTAAAGGCATCCAGTGAGGAATAACTCACAACTTATTTAGGTAATCCCTAATTCTTCTGTACAGCTGTAATTATTAGAAATATTTTTTCTTGTATCAAGCCTAAATTTGCCACTTTACAACTTTTACCTATGTCTCCTACTTCCTCCCTATGGACAGATAGAACAACATATGAGAGTCCTTTATATTTGAAGATTGCTATCATGTCCCCTTGAAGTCTTTTCTTCTTCAGGCTAGACATGCTGAGTTTCTTAAATGTATCCTCATACATTATTAAATAGGAAGGGATAAAGCTAAGATCACAGAGTGCAGTAAGCTGTTTTGTTGAGAATTCCCAACATATCTCTCTAAACAACTTTAAAAAACACATCTAAATGAATTCTGAATAGGATAACCAACAAAAAAATCACAGTCATTTTTTTTCTAGTTAAAGGTGACCAGGCAAATGGTGTCTTTGAATCCCTGGCTAAAACTAAAATAGCTTTGGAAGAAATCTCCAAAACATTAAATAAATAAATAAATAAATGAAAATGAAAAAATTAAAAAAAAAATCTCCAGCCCACCTAGAAAGTTTCACTTGATATGTGATCTGACTAAGCCACCACCTCCTGAATCACTGACAACTCTTAGAAAATTAAAAGGGCAAGGTGACGTAGAATACAGGATTTAATGCCATAAGAAGAGAGGGTCATTTCTATATACTTGAAACTGAGAAGGATTACAGGCAGAGGAAAGTAGATGAGAAAATCTACCTGAGTAATGATCACATGATCCTAAATAAAACAAAAGTACTGAAGAATATTACAGCCAGAAATATTAAATAGTGCCTCTATATAAATGGCTGAGGTTATAGAGTTGTCTGGGGTGGCGTGGAGAAATTGTTCACTGGTAGATATTTTTTTTTTATGGACTCTAATATTGGCTCTATTTGTTTCCATTAATATGTAAGTTGACCTTTTTCTTCGACATCTGTGAGCCTTTGAGGTAAAGTGTCCAGAATGAGGGATGTGAAAACCCTGCTGCCTTATTTATGTATCAGGACACATTCAGAAGAGATAGATCAGGACAACAGAGACACCAAAGACCTGACCATGTGAAAACTGATGGAAGGAACTAAGTATGTTACAGAAAAGGAGACTTGGGGGAGGAGGGGAGGAAAAGGGAATTCAATAAGCATTACACCTATCCTCAAGTATATGAAAAAGCTGATATATGAAAGAAGAGTTGTCTTCAGACAACAGAAATGGAAATAATTGGTGAAACTACAGAAATAAAAAAAAACATTTAAACTCAAGATAAAAGAAAATCCACTAATAATTCAAGATATCCTAAAATATAATGGACTACCTCAGGAAGTCAGGCTTCCCAATCAATGGAGATCTTGAGGTGGAAGCTGAGCTTCAATATCTATGGGTTTTTGTAGACATTACATGATTTCTAGGGTCTATTCCAACTCTGAGAGTCTGTGATTTGATGAAGTAGCGAATGTTCCATTATTTTGTTATTTGCATGTTCTATTCAACTAACTTTCACTATTAAATTGTTATTCCTGTGCATTTTTTTTCTTTCGCACACTTTGCTTTTAGTGGTTTATATCTTTACCTACTTAGATCTCTTTTTACCCTCAAATAAAACATATATGTGGATGCTTAAGAATGTATATATATCTATATCTATCTATCTATCTATATATATGTATCTATGTATCTATATATACACACACACACACACGTATATATATATATATATACATACATATATATATATATGTACTTTATCAAATCAAAAACTGGGTGGGTAGAAAGCTGTGTTTCTTTTGGCAGTCTGCCTGGCAAATACTAGGCAGATTGTATAGATTTTATTTTGTGGAAAAGGAGGGAGGGAGAAAATGAGAGAGAAAGAGAAGGACTAATGCATGAAGAGAGAGCAGAAGGAAAAAGGCATTAAGAAGGCAAGAAATGTGATCTTCATTATACATGTGAAATCATGAAAAACATTTCCATATTATCCATGTTATAAAAAAAGGAGGAAAAATTTAAAAAGTGAAAACTTACGCTTCAATCTGCACTCAGACTTCATCAGTTCTCTCTCTCTGGAAGTGGATGGTATTTTTTTCCTCATGAGTCCGTTGGAATTATCTTGGATCATTTTATTGATCAGAATAATTGAGTCATTCACAATTGATCAGTGTAAAATATTACTGTTACTGTATACAACGTTCTCCTAGTTCTGTTTACTTCATTTTATATCAGTCCATATAAATCTTCACAGATTATTTTTGAAACAATCCTGCTCAGCATTTCTTATACACAATATTATTCCATCATAATCATATACTACAACTTGTTCAGCTATTATTTTATTGATTAGCTTCCCCTCAATTTCCAGTTTTGTTACCACAAAATGAGTTGCTGTAAATATTTTCATGACTGTAGGTCTTTTTTTTCCCTTTTTCTTTTCTCTCTTTGGAATGCAAACCATTTTGTGTCATTCCTGGGTCAAAGGGAATGTACAGTTTTACAACCCTTTAGGTCTAATTCCAATTGATCTCCAAGATGGTTGGAGCAGTTCACAAATCCACCAACAGTGCATTAGTGCCCCATTTTTCCACATTCCCTCCAGCATTTATCATTTTCCTTTTTCTGTTGTGTTAGTTAATCTAATAGAGGTGAGGTGGTACCTCGAATTTGTTTTAATTTGCATTTCTCTGATCAGGAGTGATTTGGAACACTTTTTATGATTGTAGATAGCTTTGATTTCTTCTATAAAATACATATTTATATCCTTTGACCATTTATGAATTGTAGAACGACTTGTATTTTTTTATATATTTGACTCAGTTCCCTATATGTTTCAGAAATGAGACCATTATCAGAGAAATATACTGGAACTTTTCCCTCTGAGTTTCCTGCTTCCCTTATAATTTTGCCTGTGTTAGATCCTTTTTAATTTGATGTACTCAAAATTATCCATTTTATGCCTTATGATTTTCTACATCTCTTGTTTGATCATAAATTCTTCCCTTATCTATAAATTCAACAAGTAAAATTTTTCATGTTCCCTTAATTTGCTTATGATATCATCCTTTATGTCTAATCATATACCCATTTTGACCTTATCTTGGTATGTGGTATGAGATGTTGGTCTATACCTAGTTTCTGCCAAACTGCTTTCCAATTTTGCAGCAATTTTTGTCAAATAATGAGATTTTGTCCCAAAAGCTTAGATTTTTATGTTTCTCAAGTACTAGATTACTATGATCTTTACTACGCTGTATTGCATATCTAATCTATTCCACTTAGACACTACTCTTCTTCTCAGCCAATACTAGATTGTTTTTATGAATTTTACTTTTTAATATAGTTTGAAATCTACTACTGCTAGTCCATTGCCTTCCTTCACATGTTTTTTTCATTGATTCCCTTGATATTCTTGGCCTTTTGTTATTCTACATGAATTTTATTATATTTTTCTAGCTCTATAAAGTAATACTTTGTCAGTTTGATTGGTATAGTCCTAAACATGTAAATTAATTTGAGTAGAATTCTCATTTTTATTGTATTAGTTAGGCCTGGTTGTCATTATTGTTCAGTTATTCAGTCATGTCTGACTCTTTGTGACCTCATGTGAGGGATTCTTGGCAAAGATACTAGAGTGTTTTGCCATTTCTTTCTCCAGTGGCTTGAGGCAAATAGAGTTTAAGTGACTTGCCCAGAGTCATATAGCTAGTGTGGTCTGAGACCAGATTTTAATTTATAAGTTCCTGATTCCAAGCCCAGCTCTCTATCTACTGAGCCACCTAGCTGCCTCAATGCTTGGCCTACCCACGAGCAATGGTTATTTCTCCAGTTATTTAAATACTGTCTTTATTCATGTGAAAAGTGATTTGTAATTGTGATTACATAGTTCTTGGGTTTGTTTTGGCAGGTAGATTCTCAAGTATTTTATTTTGTCTGCAGTGATTTTAAATGGAATTTCTCTTTCTATCTCTTCCCGCTGGGTTTTGCTTGCAACATATAGAAATGCTGATGATTGATGTGGATTTATTTTATATCCTGCAACTTTGTTAAAGTTGTTCATTGTTTCAATCAGGTTTTTTGTTGATTCCCTAAGTACACCATTATATCATCTGCAAAGAGTGATAGTTTTGTTTTCTCATTGCTTATTCTAATTACTTCAGTTT